ATTGTCCCTGCTGGTGACTGAGCGTGGGACGTCCCTCTCCAGCTTTGTGACATCACTGCATCATGGTTAGACAGCGTGGCCTGGCCGGCTCGTCCCGTCTTGAATGGGATGCACTTTCTTCCCGGTCTGATTCCCGCCTGGAGAACCAGGCGAACTCCATGCGGAGCAGCCCCGCCTCCTCCGGGGGCCGGGTGGCAGCTTTCCCAGCGGGCGCGACGGCCCCTCGACGGGTCTCGGCCACAGGAGCCCGTCAGCCCCGGGCCTCCCAAGGGGCCCGGCCGCAGCCACGCTGAGGAGGCAGGGTCGGTGGAACCTGGCGACAGGCCGGCTGACTCGTCACTCGCTCAGCACATTGCTGCCTCTCTCTAGCCCCTCTTCACGTGCTTGTCACATGGGCGTTTTAAATGCGGGTTGTATCGTTACTCGGGTATGGTGAGGCCGACAGATCTGACAAGATGATGGCAGCTCCCAGTTCCCGAGACGGGGGACAGACGGGGGACACTGGGCTTGGTCAGGGAGCAGGGGACACGTGGGCAAGGGCCTTTACTGAGGGCTCCAAGGGAAGAAAGGGGCGAGGCAGGACGGCAGGCTCGGGGCTGGTTAATTTGAATGGTCTCAGTGGGCTTTGGGGCCCCATCCCTGGTGGTCTGGGGCCCGTCCTGGGTGATTAGGGCAGGGGACAGTGTCCTGAGTGTGGGGGCCCATGGCGGACGGGCGGGAGGGCTCCACTGGGCACATCTGGGTGAGTGGCCCCGCGCTCTGAGGGGACGCAGGCAGAGGAGCCGGCTGACGGAAGGGGGCTGGGTCCCCCTGCAGGGGGCTGGGTCTGAGGGGCCTGTGGGCTGGCTGCGGCACGGTGCAGGTGTCACGGGGGGCGCAGGTGTCACGGGGGGTGCAGGTGTCGCGGGGAGCACAGGTGGCCAAACGCGGCCCATCACCTGCTTTGTGCTGCCCGCGAGCCAAAGGCAGTTTTCACCTTTTTAAGTGGTTAAAAATTAAAATTCATACCCATGGGCTATTTTCAAAAGTGTGATAAAAACTAAGAGACAACGGCAAGTGCTGGTGAGGACGTGAGGAAATCGGGGCCGTGGGCCCCGCTGGTGGGAGGCAGAGGGGCGCGGCCACTGGCCCCACAGTCTGGCGGCTCCTGAAAAAAGCAAACGGAATAAGCGTGTGACCTGGCAATCTCGCTTCTGGGTATGTCCCCAAAAGAAGGGAACGTGGGGTCTCGAAGAGGTGTTTGCACCCCACGTTCACAGCAGCATGACCCGCGTGTCCGTCACCAGACGCATGACGGCACGTGGCCGTGGGCACCGTAGACTCTCGTCCGGCCTTAACGGGCGGAGGGAGTTCTGACACCGGCTAAATGTGGAAGCCCTTCGAGGACCCTGTGCTGGGGGAAACGACCTGGTCGCAGAAGGACAAACCTGCGTGAGTCCACTCGCATCAGTCACCTGGGGTCAAATTCAGAGGCGGAAAGTAAACGTGCGTACCTGTGCGTACCTGGGGCCGGGGGAGGGGCAGGGGCCTCTGACCCCAGGGGGCAGAGCCTGCCATGGGCAGGGGCCCAGGGAGGCCTTGGGGTGTGGGCTGAGCCCCCACAACACTGTGTACTTAAAACCTAACAGTTTAGTTGAGACGTAGTCTCTGCACCCCACACCGTCCATCCGTCCACTTCTAGTGCACAAAGGGACGGTGTCCCACTGTGCTGACGGCCGTGTCACCCTCACCTCGGTCGCGGTTAGAACACCTCCATCCTCTCGGAGAGAAACCCTGTCCCACTAGGTCCTGCTGTTGACATCTGGGGACCCCGCTGTGAAGGAGTACGGACGAGGGCCACATGGAGAGCCAGCCGTGCCAACTGGCCATCCTGCTGTCCCCCCAGCTGCAGGAGCGAGCCGGGCCTGGCCAAACCAGCAGGGACGCCACCCACCAGCCCACAGAATCCTGAGAAATGATAAATCATACTTAAAGCGGCCAGAGCCGGGGCAGTCTGTTCTGTGGCCACCGATGACTGTCTGCGGGACCCCGGGGCTGAGCGAACATCGAGGCGACGACTGTGGAGGACTCATTTACAGGACTCCGGGTCTTTTCCTGGCACCTCTGCCATGTGCGGGGAGTGGGGACAGGCAGATCCACCTCCGGCCGGGGTTTGCCAAGTGACCATTGGGGAAGGCCCGAGGGCCTCTGATTAGGGGGAGGATGCAGAGGTGAGCCGGAACTTCTGCCCCGGACAGCGTAGGCCACCTGGGTTCACTCAGGGGCCCCATTTCTACCTGGGTTGCTCCACTGGCCAGAGCTGTCCCTGCAGACACATTCCATGTCTGCTGTGAGTCAGCGTCCTCCTAAGACAAATGGGGCCCCATGCACACCTGGCTCCAGGTCACCTCCCACGCGGACTTGCCAGGAGACTCCTGCAGGAAAACCGGGGGCCAGAGGGCACAAGGCAGGCAGTGAATACTCACCTGCTGCCCTGCAGCGCCCTGGGGAGGGGTCCTGGGCCTCCCCAACCAGAAAGAGAAAGTGGCTCCAGGCAGAAGGGCCCACTCCCACAGGCCCTGGCTCAGGAGGGTCTGGTCCCTCTTGGGGAAAACCAACACTATATGGCCTGGGGGCACCGCCACTTGGCTGGCATCACCAGCTGCCCGGCAGGACCCAACTGTCCCATTAAAGGTGCACTCGGCACACGCTTTCGCAGTCCCTGCCCCTCCTAGACCTCGAAAATTTCCCCCATTGGTCAGAGAGAAACTCTCTCCACGTCCCACCCTCCCTGGGGAGCCCGCCTGTGCGGGCGAAAGGCTGCTGCCCCAGCGACCTTCCGCCACCCGCCCCATCTCAGTGCCCTCACGGCGAGTGGGAGAGGGAGGCGCCAGGCGGGGTGGGTCGCTGAGGCCAAGAGGGATGGCGCGGAGGAAAACCGAGCGAGGCCGATGAGCTCATAGGCTTCGACGCGAGAGTGGCCGCAGCGAACGCAGCCGGGAAGGCAGGAAGATGGGGAGCTGCGGGGGCGGGAGGACGGCGGACGGCCGCCCCGGGTCCGAGGCAGTCGCCGCAGAGCTCCAGACCCTCCGCTGCAAGGTTCCCCAAGGCCCAGGGCGCACGGGAACCACAGGCAGAGAGTGGGTTGGAGGTTGCGGGGAAGGCGCTCCAGGAACCAGAATCCTCCACCCCAGAGCGTCCCGTTTCCTCCACTCCTCAAACTCCTCCCTGCCCCAAGGGCTGCGTCGCCCTCTCCCACTCCCGGCGCAGGAATCACAGGTGGGCAGCGGGCCGGGGCACAGGTGGGCGTGGGGGGGGCGTCCCCGCGGTCCTCGGTC